ACCAATATATTATGCTTCTATAAATAAGTAAATAAATTTAAGTATAATCTGCGTATTGAAATCAAAGTAGTTTCCAACACGTTTTCCAATTACAATTGGTTCAAGATAAAACTACATTAATACAGGTCAGGTCGGAAAACATACAAGAAAGAAGAACATCTTTATACAATAAAGTTCCTCCGCAAAACGGTATCTTTGTAAATCAAAGTACGGAAGTACTGAACATCGGATAACCGCAAGTTCTGGTGGATGGTCACAGGCACTTGTCTCAGAAAGAAAATCATATCTCTATACCTGAAAGTTAGGTTAAGGTACATAGATATATATTTTTTTCAGAGACAAGTTCCTGTGTGGATGATGAATAAGTGACAGGGATTTCAACCTCACCGTAATACTTGTTATATTGTAGTGATATAATCATTTGTTATCAGTATAATCTGGTTTGTTGTTATATATTAAATTAATATTTGTGTAACACTTATATAACGTCACAGTTCCCAAATTGGACCTATTTAGCAAAATAAGCAGCGTAAATCTTACACGTTTTTTTTAAGAGACTAAACAATTTGTATTTTAATGAATTGACATTATGCACGTCTTTCAACATAGCTAATTATATGTAGAGATACACAAAACATTCACAGTATATATCAACAGATGAGTATTCACTTGAAAAAGTATAATCTATGGAAACGTCGGCATGCGACACGCACAAATGTCATCTTTTAAAAATGAGCAAATAAAATATGTTACAAGCATCCATTTCTTAAAAAATTAATAGTTAGCATGGACGAATGTCAAATTGTTATAAATATTTGAAGAAATAAAAACAAAACCTCTGTTATGCGATTTTTAAGGATGTGAATTTAAGCATGGATGCAATTTTGGTACTCCTCATTACAGAATCATGGATCGTTTGGAGGTCGATTCCAACCCATTTTCTTATGATTAAATATGGATTCAAAATTAAATTGGTGGAACTATTTCATTTATGGTAATATTTCTTTATTTTGGTTTCTATGGAGTAGATATGGCAAATATTATTGAAATCTGTGACATTGAGTGGTCAGACCTATCCTTTATTCTTTGGTTTTTACATAGAATTAATGTTAATAACTCTACAGACAAATTTTCAACCATTTATACCATCATTCTATTCTACTATTCTAATAATAGTGCAGTACAAGTGCATGGTGGACACTCTTCTGTAATAATTCGTTTTTCTAATAGGTTGGATTTGAGTAGGTATTCATATTTCTCCCGCTGTTGTTGCAAAACGTCCTCGAGATATTCTTCCGCATGCATTAACACAAATTTTCGGTATTCATGATTTGTTACTGGTATATATATTTCTCACGACAAAACATTTTCATAGCATTTATCTATGTTCTTAAAAATATTTTCATGAATTTTATTGATGAAATTAATATATAACAAGAGATAAGGAATGTTATTTTGCACTCGATAATTTCCGCGTATTTATACGAATTACACGAAGTGATGGGTGCTTAAGAACGCAAGGGCCGTGTGAAGAACTTCTGCGCCATCATAACACCGGAATGACCGCTCAAGGTAAAATATTTTGGTCTGAAGTCATTTTCCATTGTACGCAACACATTATCTGTAGGTGCTGCACCCTCTTGCCACATATCTGAACCCTATGAAACAGAAGAAGAAACTCTGTTCCAGACACAAATATGACCTTAAGGTCAGAGGTCAAGGTCATTTGGATATTTGACACACGGTCGTATCGTAATATGTCCCCACAGAAAGTTAAGGTCCAGACAAGACCGTATATGAAGCACAAGAATAAGAGACACTGCTAAAACATAATTTCCAAATTTGTCCAAAAAGGAGACATAATGCTTGTTTATTCACACTACGTTATCAATATGTCTCCATGGGATATTGGTATTATTGCCAGGGGTTTCAAATTAAAGTAGGATCCCTATGTAAATAAAGAAAAATGTGAATGGTTATTTGGTGTCTTGTATGAAAGAGCTATCATGGTAATTTCAATTTTTTTTTAATATATCTGTATGTAAGATATCTAATAAAGTTTACAATATATCTTAAAAAGTTCATAAGATATATTATATACTTTATTAGATATGGATGTCAAAGCAAGATATCTTATATAAATGTCTTTTTTTAAGTATAAGATATATCTTAAAGTATGAAAGATGTTTTATGAATACTATCAAACATATTTTTTTTAATTTGGATTAAGAGCTATCTTGTATATTTTATTAGACATATAATGTACTTGTTGAGATATCGATATATCATTTATAAGATATCAATATCTAATGAATTTTATATGATATCAATATATGAGGTATTTTAAAGGTATCATAATTATGGATTTTAAAGGATATCCAAAAGCATATGAATGTTTTATTAGAATAGAATATATCGTATAAAGTATATGAGATACCTTGAACATTGCCATGTCATAATTAAGAATGCCGATACAATCTTATAAAATGAATGATTCAGTTTGATAAGTTATCTGCTCGTAGATCACACGTTCACATGTCTATTTCAAGCCTGGAACCAGGTAAGTGTATCTCTTTTGTTAAAGCTTCATGTATTTTGTCATTTTTGAAAGCTGGTGTTAAAATTTGAACAAGTATAATTCTGCTATAAAAAAATTGGCGTCAAAGTGTATGCCTACCTACCAATCTTCTCCCCTTCGGGATATGTAGCCATTCAAAGTACATGCATGTCTAGCTTATTTTGGATGTTATCGTTTTTTGTTTTTGTTTTATATGTGTTTTTTTGCTGACTATCCTGTAGTTTTAAAAATATTATTTGAGGCAAAAAAAAAAAAACCCAGAAAAACAGACATGACCTTCAGTGTCGAAGTCAGAATCATGTGTTGATTTTACCACCACTGGATCGATTCCGGTTCTAATGGACCGCATTCTCAAAGAATACAATCCTATGGACCAGTAGAAAGTGGGTCTGTACTTACACAAAAACAATGATATATTGTGATTGTAGATTTTTTCATTTTTTTTTTCTTATGAATATACTTTAAAACATAGGTTGCCATTCATAGGGTAAAGTTGACCTTAAACGATTTTTCGTTTTGACGCGTCAAAAAGTTATGTTTTGGCCTCCTGCAGTTTTAGTTTCATGAATCCAATCATTAATCATTACACCAGAAACATGTGTCTTGTGCACTTACATGTATATAATACGCTATGCATAAATATTACACTGTGAGTTTGTCGTGAATTTAATGAAATATTTGAAAAAATATAGTTTTTAGACAATCATACCATACCATCATCTTCAGAAGAAACGTGGTTAGACATTTGTACCGCAACCACTGACGATCAGGAAAAGGAAAGATGTTTTTCTACTTTATCACCTGTTACTGACGGACATGAAAAGTTCAGGGATGACCATTATTTCATATCCAAGTCATCTATTAGGGTGTTCTTCAAACGACAAGTCATTGTAGCCACACAACAATGATATACAAGGTCTTCTATTGACGTTTACTTTACCACTGAAAAATAATATCATATGTGATATAATTGAATGCATGGTAAATAGCTGTATAAATAATCTTAAGCAATTAAATGTCTGCAACCTTGTAATACCTGATATACATAATCGGACAGAGAGATTACCACTTGTTTCGAGTTAGTTTGTATTGATATTCGGAAAGTACTTCATTGTTTTTTTGTTTAATTAACTTATACCAGCAAATACACGTGCAACTGATGCAATTTCCTGTGACTATTTTGCTGTTGTTTGTTTTTAAGCTTTTTGTCATTAACAGCACTTCAAGAATGGGAAGCTGTACTCTTTTCTTTATAATTTTTACAGTTTTTTCTGTTAACAGAGCTGGTAGGTTAAACTATATTTATTTCTATTTAAGATTTTGTTATCTTGAAAATTATCTTTGTATTTTCACTTATAATAAAATTGATCTATGTATTTTATATTGAATTCCATACGACTGCTGGAAATATTATAGAAAAATGAATAATGAACGGTACGTAAAGGTCATGTTATAAAAAATCAAAGAATAGAAGTACTATCAATTCGGATGGCTCTACGATCGAACGGCGGGCGAATGTATCATACAGAATTCTATCTCGCTATAGACTGTTGTAAGTAGCTTGTATTTTTTTCTTACGTCCAGTATCGAATATTTCAGGCACAATTAGGACGATAATATATTAAACAGTTTAGTATGTCCTTTTGGTACCTAGTGTTGAAGGATACAATTGAAGAAAAAAGAGAGAAAGATGCTAGGCACTGTCTGAACGGTAGATGAAATTAAAATATGCTCGTATTCCGATCGGGAGTGATTGTGTATCCTACGAGAATGGAGAAGTCAAAAGTGATCAAATTTATATATATTCTAATGTGACCCTTGATTGTGTATACAGCATGCAATGGTTGTCCCTTTTCTCTAATAATCCACAACGTAGACTTTTCGTATTTTCAAAATGAATATAGATGTGGTTTGAAGACTGTCTTGTATGGTTGTTTGGTATGACTTTGTTCTAAATGGTTCTCATTTTAAAAACCTGAACTCGTCCTTTTTTTAATCTTGTCATGATCCAATCCTAAAAAGAAAAGGGGTGTGAATGAACTGTAAACGGTAATTCAGACACAGTTCAGCAATATTGATACTAATATCTGACAGAGTAATTGTCTTGTGAACATCTGAAGAATGTTATTTGTTAGATTTAAAGCACTTTCCTCGGATTAAAGGAGACAAAAAGTGAACGAAGATCGCCTAACCATACCTTCTCCATTGCAGGGGGGATTCGTCCTTTTTCAAAACAATTAAACATATCTATTATATATAAATAATATACGGATGTCAAGTTGGTTCAATATTCAACATTCAACATTCAATTTTTTTTTTAAACATTTTTTTTTTCAAAGTTTTCTTTGTTTTTTGTTTTTTATTTTTATTCGTTTTCAACATTCAGCATTCAATAGTATTGTTACTAAAACTACATACTAACTACTGTTGACATTTGATAAGTTCTGGTTTACAGAGGTCATATAATTTTGTTTATGTGTTTGTTTCTTTTTTTATTTGTTAAGGTTTGAATATAATTTTAGACAGTATGCAGTGTAATCAAACCGTAAAAGATGTGTGTCACCCGAACGCCGAATGTATAAGAAACATATGCGTATGTAAAAGTGGTTTCCATGGTGATGGAGTCAAAACTTGCAGTAGTAAGTTCAACTATACTTATATCTTCGATACATACAAAATATTACGGAGTAGATCAGAGTGTGCAAGTATTTAGTAATGTTTTTTTACAGAAACTTGCATTTGCATTTATAGATTATCTTACAACATGTAGCAAATACATGCAATGCACAAGATCTACAGTTCTACGTAAATATCAAATTGCCTGTATAAAGTTTCGAAAAATCTTAGTAATGTTTTCACATAAGACTCTACAGGTATATTTTGATAAATCCACTTACCAATATTTACGTGGACAATTTTGTCTTAATTTTTAGAAAAATGCATTTGTGAAGTGGTTGGAGACCCTCACATTCACGGTTTTGACGGACATTTCATGACCTTCCCTGGGCGATGTAGATACACTATGTCGAGAACAACCACGGCTCATGATTCTTGTGGATTCAACATAGAAATAAAAAATGACAATACTGGACCATCCGGGGATCAGGATATGCAAAGTAGCTGGCTGAGAACAGTTTATATTCAAACACAAGACCATATCATCAAATTCAAACGTATGAGAATCATAGAAGTAGGTTTTATGTGATTAGATACTGGTTCATATTATGGTTGGCTTTTTTTTTTTAATAAAATTAACCTTGCACGAGAATTAAGAGTCTAAGCAAAATAATATTGGTCCTTCAAAATCATAGCATATAGGAGAGATCGGAATGCAATGAAACCAAGAAATGTAGTTGTCAAAGAAAGGATTAACGTATTTGTATTGAATTGTGTTGCATAGTAATTATATATTTACATCTGAAATTTATTAAAGAAATATAAAACTAACGAGAAAATTCCACATCGATTTTTTCATGTTTTACCTATTATAGGTTGATGGATATTTACGATATATGCCAGTACATGTACGTTCACCAAAGGGTTTTCTTGCTATAGTTCACAATGGTCCATGGGTAATTCTTGCTACATCCTGTGGACTCCACGTTAAGTGGGACGGTGATTCGACCGTTAAGATAGAGGCCCCAACGAGATACATAGGTAATCTGACAGGTTTATGTGGCAACTGTAATGGTTTACCTGATGACGACTACAAAACTAAGACTGGTTCAGATGAATCCAAACTGTCCCCTTTAGTACGAGATATGACAGTAGGGGATAGTTACTTAGTCAGGGACAAAAATGGAAAACAGACACTTCAAGAGTAAGTTTCACTTTACAGTTATTTATTACAATGTATATGTATTTATAGTAAACATGTATATACATAATACAAATCGAAATAATAACTAGGGCGATGAACTTGTAGAGCTGATTTCTGGTCCTTTTTAAACGCCCGTTTACGGGACGTATTACGGTATACATCTGTCCGTCCGTCCGTCCATCCGTCGTCGTCAACATGTCGGACAATAACTCAAAAACACTTTAATCAATTTTCATGAGACTTTGGTGAATTGTTTATATCTATTGACGTAAGCTCCTTTTCGATTTTTATAGATTTTCGATTTTACGTTTCCGAGTTATGGGATTTTATTTATAAAAAAGGGGATTTTCCAGTTTTCGGACAATAACTCAGAAATGCTTTGCTAAGTTTTCATGAAAATTTGGTGACTATTTCATATCTATTAAAATAAGCTCTCTTTAGTTTTTTTTATATAAATTTCTGATGTGACATTGAGGAGAAATGGAACTTTGTTCGTTGAAAAAGCAACGGACGTATCATGCGCTCATGGCGCAGCTCTTTATTTTGTTTTGTAATCATCACAGAATTGTAAGTCCTTACATCACATATTTTGATAAACTTAACTAATAGTAGTGTTGCTTCAATTGTCCAAAAGGCCATGGGGCTTTGGCATTGCTTGATTGAAAAGACACTTGAAGTATAAAAAAGCAACAAAAAGGCACCTGGAATAATACATGTGTTTTAAACTAAAAGACATATACACATATGGTTAAACAATTGGTTCCATGTACATGTTTTTTTCGAATACGAATTTAAAGTTGAGTGTACATTCCTATATGTTAACACAAAAAGGCATCTATAGAGGTCAAGATACGGTCTCACGGTCAACAACACGGGTCTAATATGTCATAAGCATAGCTCTTAATCGCCCCAAAGCTAATCGAGGTAGATCAACACAAAAATGTTTAAAAAATAAAAACAAAAAAAAACCACAAAACTTAAGGACAACTACTAGCGAGATTCCTGAAAGGTATATTAACCTGAGGCGGGGTTAAAATAGAGAACGCTGCCCTCCTGTTTCAGAATTCGGTCAATTGAATACCAAAAGGTACACAGAAGAAATCATAAGATAAAACAAAAATCCATTCAGCCAGAAAGTACAGCTACTCTATGATAGAGTATTAGAGACGAACAAATGAGCTACAAATACAACAATACTAAATGACACATCAAATATTTCCTACAGTTATAATGAAAGCTCGGAATACTTAATCTGTTGAAATATTTGTTTGCATATCAATGGCCTTAGTATTGTGTTCCAACAACGAATCGGGTTTTGTAGACTGAAATTTATATGTATTTTACATACATGCTTGCCGAGGCACTTTTACATGCATGTGCTAAAGACGCTAATAACATGTCATTACTCAAAATCGTTTGGAGACATGAAAGTTTCTGTCGTGAGTATTCGAGTCAATTTAGTTTTAGAATAATCCTTGTAATTGTATATGAAATACAGTTACTCTATGATAACGCATTACAGACGAACGAATGATCTATAAATACAACAATACTTAATGATACATCAAATTATTCCTACAGTTCAAATGAAAGTTCAGAATACTTAATCTGTTGAAACATGTGCTTGCATATCAGTGGCCTCAGTATTGTGTCCCAACAAAAAATCGGGTTTTGTAGACTGAAATTTATATGTATTTTACATACGTCCTTAGTTTCAATTGGAAAATGACAACTTGGAACAAAATTCAGAAAAAAGACGGAAAGGAATTTTCTAAATAGATCGGGTTTAACAATGAAAGGGACATGGTAAAGAAGAAAAAACCCCGTTCTAAACAATTTTTTTTATAATTCAATAACTGCTTTAGCCCTTTAAACAAAAGCAAATAATCTATAATGTGTTCTCGTTTTAATTTATAACACAACAGATGCTCGACAATATTAGTAAACAACAGATGTCCGCAGAAAATAGAACTGCTAGCCTATGAAAACTGTGGCTTTCTGAACTATCTACACCCGAGAAATCCTTTCCGTGGATGTATAGATAAGAATCCGAGGCTTGCCGAGACACTTTTACATGCATGTGCTAAAGACGCATGTCATTACTGGATGCTGGGTCAACTTTTCATGAAGAAATTAGTTTGTGGATACATGTCATCTTTTGCGGAAACTTGTGCTAGGAATGGTTTCAAAATCGTTTGGAGACATGAAAGTTTCTGTCGTGAGTATTCGAGTCAATTTAGTTTTTAGAATGATCCTTGTATTTTTTTTTACCAAATTCATGGAAGAATATGTTGTTTGAAGAAAAAAAATAATGTCTATATATTTAAGGACAAATTTATTGCCCTCTACTACCGTTATAGAAATGTTGTTTTGAAAGCCGTGTTGGTGGTATATATCATATTATCAATTGTAGTATGTTACAAATGTTTTCTTTGCATTTTTTTAGCTCTATTCTGTCCTTCAACTATGCCATATAAACCTATAGCAACACCCTGTCAATCAACATGTATGGCTCCTAAACCAGTAGTATGTCATTTGTCCTACAATGAAGGCTGTCAATGTCGTGAGGGATATCTACTCAGTGGTAATACATGTGTTGCACCCAAACTGTGTGGATGTCATACAAACGCTGGCTATATACCTGTAAGTAAATGTACAATAGGGAGATCTTTAATCATTCCATATCGGGCTGATAACACATGCAATTAAACAGTGCAACCATGCTGTAAGCATATACATCTTCCGTCAGTACTGACACTCTACTTGTAAATATAACAATACCAGTAATTGTAGTATCTACTAAAGAAGAAAACGTTTTGAAAAATATCTTTACATAAAAACTCAAACTAGATTGTAGTTTGTATAGATTTTGATTGGCCATATATATATATATATATATATATATATATATATATATATATATATATATATATATATATGCGTTTTGTTAAAATATTGGTCTTTTGGAAAATGTTGTTTGTGCTGTATTTAGATCCTTCTGACAAGAAATTTGTTTTGCATGCACACGTATAAAAATTGCGGTTTTTATCAAACGCAATCATAGGTTTGAACGTTGTTTTCAATTTAGACTTGTTTATATATATATATATATATATATATATATCATTTCATCCACAGGTTGGTTCAACTTTTACGTCACTAAACTGCTCGGAGATACAAGAATGTCAGGTGATATCAGGCAAGCCATTAATGATAACAAAACAACGTATTCACTGCCATAAATACGCTAAATGTGTTAATCTGGAAGGAAAAACACAATGTCACTGCAGCAGTGGGTTTACAGGTGACGGCATCGACCAATGTATTCCTAAAACCCATCCAGGTAAGTCTTGTTACAGCTCGTCTAAAGGGATTCAGATGTGATTGCTAATATTGAAAATAAAATAAAAATAGGCGTGGAAAAAGTTGACAAACCGTTAATAGTTTAAGCGATATTACAGAGACATATGGAAGCTCCCTAAATGTTCGTTTAGCTTGTTTATTAAGCTTGCAATAACGCAAATGTTGATCACGACTACATTTCATGCAAAGAATCAACACAATTGTGGTTATGCTATCTTAATGTTTTATTTTAAAAGTATAATTATAATTTAGTCTTCTAATGGAGAAAATCTCAAATATTCATTTTCTGGACAATCATTAAATATGTGTTTGCAGTTCGGTGGCCTTAGTATTGTGCTCCAACAACGAATCGGGTTTTGTAGACTGAAATGTATATGTATTTACCATATGTCCTTGGTTTCAATTGGAAAATGACAATTTGGAACCACATTCAGAAAAAAAGATGGAAAAGAGTTTTCCAAATAGATCGGGTTTAAACAACGAAAGGGGCATGGTAATGGAGAAAATCGGAAATATTCAATTTATGGACAATTAGCAAATTATAATATCTTATTTTTCCCTTATTTTTTTCAGAACCAACTCTAACGATTGACGAAAGCATCAACAAGTTAATGTCCTACAAACGTCCTCCAATTGTTAAGAACCCTATACAAACCATTACTTCACGCCATTACCAAGAGAATATCATAACGCATGCTAAACCAAATCAATCAATTGTAAAAACTATAAGTCATACACATCATTTGAGATCTCACGTGAAATCATTGCCACCAGCACATCATACAGAGCACGTTACAACGCATTTAAACCCATTGTCATCAACGAGTACTACTAAAAACCACAAATACCGAATTTCAACTAATAAACCTACTAATTATAAAAAAAATACAAAACAGCTTACCCATTTTAAATCACTGACAGCAGCCAAAATCAGAAGCAATAGGAAACTTGTTACAAGTCACAAACTGTTGAGAAAATTTAATAGGACTGAATCGGAACATTTGAAGACTTACGTGAAACCACTGTCACCAAATTTGAACAAAAGAAGTAAGAAAAAACATTCCAAAATACGTGATAGATCACCGTCACCAATAGTCACTGCTAAAAGTAGGACAGATCATTTCACATCGCATGGTAATTCGTTGTTATCACCTGTAAATATCGGGCACATGAAAGAAACCAAAAGGTGGTCCAATAATATCGCGAAAGAAAATAGCAAATATCCCTCTGATCATGTAAAAAGCCAAAAAACTAATAGAAATCACATTGTGCCTTCTAAGAACAAATATAAATTGATTTCCGGTCGGGCAAGCAAATTAAAGCCATTCACAACACCGGAACTGACAGATAACTATTACTCTGGTTCATCAACAGAGGAAGTGTGGTAAAACTAAGATTGTTACGTATATGTTTCTAATGTATATGTTCTGAAGAAAATAAACCCACATTTGCATATAAATATTTGATTTTGTTGTTACTTTTAGTGTACTGCTTTCTCTGCATTTTATCACTTACATATTTTGTTATGAATGAAAGAGATAATGTATACGAAAATAAGACAACAACCACAAAATAGACTTCTTGGAGGTCGACATACGGTCTTCAACAATAGGCAGATGACTAGTCTACAAAATGTCAAGTTCCAAAGCTCCCCGGTTTACGTTGTATATAGGATCATGCAACTCTTGGGGGTCAACAACAGACAGGTGGCTACAAAATGTTAACTTAAAGCCCCAAATCTCCCCGATTTAATGTTGTACCAGAGACATATAATGTATTATATGTCTCTGCCTTTGTTGATATTTTTAGAAATAACTATTGGATCAAATTTTACGAAACTAGTCTTATTTTCACGACATAACATTTAGGAGTATTATAGCCCTAAAATTGTATATTTATTCGCATATTTCCAAGTTTTACGAAACAGATTGGGAGATTATATGGGTTCTACGGCAATAGGAGGTGACGTAGAATGGGCCGAGTTTCAAAATTTGTTGGTATTTGATTACTCTCGTCATTTCAGCACATTATATTAATTACAAATTATTAGAATTGTTTTTATTTATCTTTTGAATATACTTACATGCTTTAGTTGTGAAAAGTATCGGCATTAGCGATTAGAAAAATCGTTAGGCGTAGAATGTTCTTCACAACAATGGCGGATTTTTCTTTCAAATCTCATCATGCCAATCGGTAATAATCGATTTTCCGGTGGCCGAGACATTTCATTGGCCGTTACGTAGATTCTACTCGAGTTGCGAATCTCTTGTATTATATGTCTCTGGTTGTAGTACGTATGTATGCGTACATCCACTTTATTTGAACTTTGGTGGATAGTTGTCTCATTGGCAATCATACCTCATCTCCTTATTTTTATATTGATAATGATTATGTAAGGAGAGGACTCGAGCTTGCACTAATATTTCGCTGTGCGGGTTGTTGAATAGCAACGATTTGCAAATATATAAGTTGTTAAAATTTAAAGTATGTTTTTTTTTTAGTTTAGATAATTCACAAGACTGAAATATTTAAGCAATCTAATTAAGATATAGTTCTCTGATTTCGTTATACTCATATATACGAGCATGCGAGTTAATATAGATATGAATTTTAATTTAGATTGATATTTAAGAACAATTCGCTTTCAGCAGACAGTCAGTTTAGTTCAACTTTGTCAAAATAAGCTAAAAACAATCGCTGATTTTAAATTATTAAAAGACAAATGCAACCGATGAGGTTATATCATATAACATAACCTCCCTTGTACAAACTATGAATGACCTTAGTCAGAGTTGGCTTGCTCAAGATGAAGAGGAAAAGTTTCAATTCAATTGACACACAAGAGATGTATAGTATGCTTGCTTCGCGGTGCCCCTGCATTTGTGCTGCAGAATATTCATTTTCATCCTGTCTTATGCAAGGTTATTTAATTTTTCAGTTCTTACCAGACCAGGTTATTTATTTTCAAAATCGCCCCTCCCCCCAAAAAAAATCCACCACCAATTAGCAACATATATTCGAATTAAAAGATTTTGATTTAAAAATTCCAAGTTGGGAAGTTTTTGTCGAGTAAAGAATGCACTTTATTGTTTATTTTCTCGTATAATATCTCCATTTCAGGCACATCCAAACAAAAAAGGTGCTGTCAATAATTTGGCAATTTTGTGACATACGTTACAAAAAGCACAAAAAGGGACGGTTTGGCATGGCGTACCGTCCCAATATGTCGATACTTTATAACGTTCCATGCATTGTTTATTGTTTCTTATTGAAGTTATGTAATTCTGATAAACGTTTTAGAATGTAATAAATACAATTTAAGTTTGAATCAATTAGGTTTACGTGAATTTGACAGCTAATGGCCTATTAAACCACAAAATGTGCATATAAGTATAATTTCACGGATATTGTTGGTCTCAAATTAAACATAAACACAGCAGAAAAGTAGGTATCGGCTTAAGAAGCTTTAAAAACGTTTCTTTGTGTTAAAAGCCTAAAATACATATTAAAATGTTTAACGTTTCGCCGAAAATAGAGCACATGTTCGTGTTGAATGAATTATCCTCCCTCTTTAATAATATACAGTACGATAAATCTCCTCCCAGTCACTTTAAACAACAATTGAGGCGATGGATAAAAGTACATTCGACATTATTTTTTTACAGTTTTATTCATTTACCTGATTATAAATATTGTTATTAAAATTTGGACGTGATCTACGATTGTATTACCATTAGTGATATCATTAAAGGTACCAATTTTACAGCAGCCTGTGCGCTTGTAGACATTTGACAAGTCAGTATATTCGAGGTCAATACATTTGAAATTTTAATAAAACCAGAGACATATATACAATATTTTCACATAAGAATTGCTACAAACTGAATAAGAGAAAGTAAATAATATAAGAAATCGAAATATATACTTACATAATATTATGCTGTTTTGAAATGCTTGTGTTAAAATAACAATCGTTAGTCAGTTGCGATCTTTTCTATTGGTTGTTACGGAAGCAAGTTAACTCGTACCATTGTAAACTCGTACCACGTAAACTCGTACCAAAAAAGTTAACTCGTACCAACGTAAACTCGTACCACTGGGAAGTCGTACCAATCAGAACTCGTACCACTGCAAACTCGTACCATTAAAAATATATTAAAAAATACGAATGTTTTATGATTTTGTTTTGGTATCACCAGCCCAGTAGTCAGCACTTCTGTGCTGACATGAATTATCATTGATATGGTCATATTTATAAATTAACTGTTTACAAAACTTTTGCAATTTTGAAATACTAAGGCTTTTCTAGCTCAGGAATAGAATCACCTTAGCTGGAATGATTAAAAATTAAATCAAATAGTTGTCAGTAAAAGTTTAAAAAAGAGTCTACTCAAGGGAGACAACAAAGCCAATCTGCCACGGTTTTCTCTGTCCAATTAGACAAGGAAAATTAGCTACAAATCGGTCATTGTAATTTCAAATTATATACATTTTACAGATTTACGAGGTATTGAGGGAAATTAAAGTATATATTCATCATTAAACACCATTTGAATGCATTTAAATAAGATGGTACGAGTTTAAAATGGTATGAATTTACCGTGGTACGAGTTAGCAGTGGTACGAGTTTGCATTGGTACGAGTTTTTTTTTAGTGGTACGAGTTGACATTGGTACGAGTTTACAATGGTACGAGATAACTATAATTCGTTGTTACAAAATGGCGATAATCTCTTCTCGTTAGAGTCACGCGGGCCGCGTGAGTGAACATGGATTTCGCTGACCACTGTTGAAGTTGCCAATCTTTGTGTATATATATGTCTCTGATAAAACATATGCCCATATGTTCATGCCAGTACCGAAATACTGAGCTAACGGGCTTGTGATACCCTCAGAGACCACCAGCAGAGTTATCAATACGACAAGTCGTAGTAATATATTAACATTAATGATACCAATTTTACTGCACTAGGTGCGTATTTCGTTAGTTTACGTCTTTTCGGTGATGCTCAAGACCATAATATTTAACAGCTGCGTAAGAAGCGCATGATACGTCCGCTTTATGCATATTGACATTGTTGCAATGATGAAATGCAATACTATTATTGTAGAAAAATACCAAGGGGACATTCAAAACTCATAAGTCGAGATAAATTGACAAGGCCATGGCAAAAACAAAACGAAGGACGACGAAAAGACAAACAAGTTCACAAAACATTACATAGAAAGACTGAGTAACACGCAACCAACCATTAACTGTTGACACAGAGATATGTCTCGCCTGTCTTCAGCAAATTTGAAAAAAGACAATCTGATGGACAGCAACATGGAAACAATTCAAAGTCGCTGGACCATGACAAAAGGGGCAGGGTCTTGAAATGATATAGGAAATAGTCATCAAACTGAGTTGTACTCATAAAAATGCAACTTTTTAGAAATATCATTGATCTATCACAAGTTGTTCCTATCAAACTGAATGAAGCAGAAAACAACATTGAAATTGCTACTTAATTCAGTCACTGGACTTTGACCTAGGGGCAGGGCCTCAAAATAGTTGTCACACTGACATTTGCTGATAGAAATGCAACTTTATAGAAAATATCATTGATCCATCACAAGTAAGTCCTATCAAACTGACTTCAACAGAAAAGTTAATTAATTAATTAATTCAGTCACTGGACCTTATCCTAGGAGGCAGGGCCTCAAATAGCCGTCAACCTGATATATGTACTGATAGTAATGCAACTTTATAGAAAATATCAGTGATATATCACAAGTAGTTTCTATCACACTGACTTAAGAAGAAAATTTAACAATTGTTGACGCATTCTCCTCCGCCGCCGGAAAAGCACCTATGTCTCGATTTCGCGACTTTCGTCGCAGGCGAAACAAAAAAAAAACGGGGTAATTCCATGTGCTCCGGAAGGGTAAGGAGACCCTTTTCCACTAGTGACACCTTTGCGTTGCTCGTATAAAATACGTTGATTAGAAATATCAAGTGATTGGGGATCACACAATAGCGGATTGGCAACTGACTCTAATCTAACCCTAAGACATCTCCAAATTGGTAAACCTTCGGTCAAGTAAACTTACTAGCCCTTAAATATGACCGAATGTGATTTTTTTTTAATTAAAACACGTTTATTTAGGACAAAAGATAAACAAGACTGTTGCCGGTAGAAACAACTAGACATTAAAAAATTAAAAAGCACAAATTTCAACATTATGAACCGTAAGAAAGAACAACACAAGTCTCTTTTAAACAAAACAAGGGTGAACGCAGATGCTCGGGAATGGTTAGTAGATTCTGCTCCAATAGTGACAGTCGTCGCGTATCTCTTGATAAGACTAGTCTTATTCGGTGAAGTTACATTCAAGGAAAATAGTACGGGGTTAACGTTACGATAATTGGAACATATCTGTAGCCATCTGTGACACAGAAAGTCCATAACGTAAAACGTT